GTTCAGGGGATCTCGTAGTCGAGCAGTCTCGACTAGAGCTTTCTTTCTTGTTGTTGTTGTTGTTGGTAGCAGCACGCACAATTAAATCAAATTACCTCAAGTGCACTCAACGCTTTTTCAACGTCTCGAGCCAAGGCTTAGTAATTAAGTACAGTGGGGCCTTTTACCTTTTTGCGCCCTCACTACCCCCCTCTCTCTCTCTAGCACTCTGTGTAGTTGTACTGCTTCCGGCACTGGTCATTCAACTTCAAAACACCTACGCATATGCTCTATTTGAGTAACTGACACTGAATTCGTGCTAAAGGCTTTAACTGAAATCGCTGATACTCAAATTTAAATCAGCTAGCAGATACCCTGTATAAACGACTCGGAGGCTCTAAGGAATGAAATAAAGAGCGATTGGTATAGCATCAGTTTGTAGTAAAACCGAGACGTAGATATGATAGATGGATAGTAATCGATATTTATCGATTAAGGTAAGGGTAAGCCTCATAGAGAGAGATGAGATGAGAAGCGTTAGTCTTCTTCTATGATCAAACTAAAGTCAGAGCTAGGATCAAGCCTCACTCATCCATAGATCGACAGCTTAAACGATACCCAGTATCTGCAAATTAAGTAATTTTTCTGTAGTCAAAGGCCTTTGATGGCCTTTGTCCCTTGCAGGGTATAATGATGGCATATCGCCAAGGGAATCAAAGTGCATATGTGTGACAAGTTGGCAACAAGGGCGGATAACAAAGGCGTCTAAAATACATACGTGATGCCGATGAAAAGAGCAAGGAAGCTGCCAGCGGGGGACGAGGGCAGGGCAACGAACGTAGAGGCAGCGAGGTACAAACTTGAGGGTAGACGCTGCAGCTCTACATAGAGTGTGCTGAGTAGAGAGAGGGCGAGAGAGAGAGAGAGAGAGAGATAGAGAGAGTGTGTGTCCCGGGCAGACGGACGAAATTGCAGGAAGGGCAACGGACGGCCGCAACGTCAACGCTGACAGACGTATTACGAATATGCTCCACAGCCTCTGGGGACAGACGGCGACTGCGACTGCGACTCCAGCTGCGACTTGGACGTCTCCATATATACGTGTAGCACACCGTATGTTGTATGGAAAAACCTCAAAAAGTTAAAACCGAAATTAAATTTACATCAAAAGGAAGACGAGTCCACCAGCAACACGTGAATGCGCCCTGGGGGGGCGCCTGCTTGTTCCATTGTTATTTTATTAGGTGAGAAATGCGCTGAGGGGGCAGCACACATAGACATAGAAAGAGCAAGAGAGAGAGAGAGAGAGAGAGAGGGAGATGGATAGGTGTATAAATAAGCAAAATATGCTCACTGGTCGCTGCGTATGCCATTTCCGTTTCCTGCTGCCAGCACTGGGGTTGCTCAGACTGCGCCAACGGGCGATGGGTGGGGTAGGGTGGGTGTTTGGCCCTTGCCTGCCGAGGGTGTTTACTACATTTGCTACATTAAATTAGTTTTGACACGTAAATGCGTTTAGTTAGCGAACACAGTGGGAACAGCTTCTATAATCACCCCAGCTCGCTCCGCCCCCTCGCTCGAACTACTCAGCGTGCTATCCAGGTCAGCTGCAACAGCTTAAAGATGTTGCCAATACCCTGCGTTCGCTGATCCAACTGAGGAGGCATCGAATCACTAGCAACGGTGTGTAACGCATGAACCGAAAGTAGGATATTGAAGTTAGGCTATCTACATATGTATGTGGCATGGGCTTGATCAGTTTTGAAATGATCAAACTGCAATTTGGCACTTGAAGTGTTTCATTTATATGTTCATCTAGCTTAGATTGCCTTGAAGTCATCTCCATAAAATCCCGGTTGGATTAAAATATGTCAAAAGTTCTACTGGTCTCCTTAAGGGGTATCTACAGTTCGACCCTACCGTATAGCTAATATAATTTTATTTAGCTTTAAATTGATCAAACTTCAACTTAAAACTTTAAGTGGTCCATTCATAACAGCTTATAGGCATCTGTTCTTCAATACATCTACCTTATATTATATATATATACAAAAAATGTTACATACATATATTAATCTATGTTTATCTAGTCTAAATTGCCCAGAAGTCAAGTCCATGAAATCCTGGTTGTGCTTAAGTATTTCAAAATCTCTACTGGTTTCTTTAAAGGGTATCTACAGTTCGATCACTCCACATAGCTACTATAATTTTCTTTAGCTCAGCTAAGCTCAGTCTCACTTTCATCAAAGATCATCTCTACACTTTAAATTACTATACAACCCTTACGAAAATTGTTTACAGGGTATCTACTCAACGATCAACTTTCAGCTTGGCTTTCAGACTTTCGCTTTCTTTATATGTTCGAGTCTCTAGATGGGAATTTCGTATTTCTATTCTCATTGCCTCCACAACCCATTTCAATTCATAGGGTATCTACGCTTCGGGCATTCGTCTTGCTTAACCTACAGCTAGCTCAAATTTTTCCACCTGGTATTCGCGGCATTTTGTAGCATAATTTTAGGCTGTCACTTGCTCAGCTCAAATATGCAAATAAATTACGCGCAACGCGCTTCGCTGAAATGCACAAAATTTATGGGTCGAGTCAGCTCCCCCCTTTCCCTTTCCCCCCTCTCTGCGCCCCCCACACTCACTTTGACACTCCCACACACAACAGGCATCTCTCACCTTTTATGCAGCCATCCTGCTCCCACACACACTCGGCACACCTTTCAGTTCTATCTCTCTCCCTCCCTCTCTCTCTCTCCTTCTTTCTTGCACCGCCCCCATCCCCGCCCCCTCAGCCGCCCTAAGCAGAGCAACTGAAATACAATTAACATGAAATTAAATGCCTGTTATTATGGCGCCTGTTTGCGCTCGGTGTTTCTCTGTTCGTGTTCCTTGTCGTGTTGAGTGCCGTTTGGCACACCCGCCCCGCCTACCGCCTGCCACCTGCTGCCCCTCGGCCACCTGGGCCACAACTTTAATTGGCCACCTGCATTCAAATGCCGCCAACTTAATTGCCATTTGTTGCACGGGCACGCCCCTCACTTTGTTTTGGCTAAAAGCTTGCGCTTTAATTTATGGCACATATCGAATCGGATAGTTAATGGACATTATTTAATATAGCGATGCATCTGCTGATATTGTGTGGCTCGTGTGTGCGCAGAGGAGGAGACTGATCCCTGCATAGATATAACTTTTGATGACTCGAAGTTCTGTTTGCTTTTCTATGGCGATAGAATCCCTGGCTTTCTTTCTTATCTGGACTGTGTCGACATCAGCGTCAGTCCATCAATCCGTCTCTGCTTCTTCACAAGACCCATGATATTTTTGATGTATATTTCTTTTCGATAACTTTATCGATTTTAGTCGCTAGCCTGATTTCAAGTTTACTTAGTAAGCTCCAATGGGGAGCATAAACTGATGGAAATTTGATTTGGGATAATTATCGATCTTAATCGATAACATGATTTCAAGTTTACTTGGCTAGCTCCAATAGGAAACATAAACTGATGAAAATTTGATATCAGATGATTCAAATTCCTAACCAAATTGCAATGCTTATTCCCTACATTGCATATTATCGATAACTTAAACTGTTATCGATAACAATCGATTTAAATTAAATAAGCTACAGAGGCAGATAATTAAAATTCCTAGCCAAATTGCAATGCCTATTGACTACATTGCATATTATCGATAACTTACACTTATCGATAATAATCGATTTAAATTCAATTAGCTACAGTGGGACTGCCACTACTACATTAAAGTTCGATTCAGTTTCATATTCAGTTGATTTCATTTATCCACCTCCATCGCCCTCCCTTCACCCTGCAAGGCCATTTGATGTTTTGTGTTGACCATTTAGTTGAATGTGTGCTGCTGCACTTGCCGCGTCATCAAATGGACTACAAACAATTAACATTTAAAACGTGGCTTTGCACGAATCGCAAACAGTTTTGCCATGGAGCAGCCACACGTGAAGCAACAAATGATTTAGCAGGACGTGGCAATCACCACGTCCTGCTAACTGGTTGCTGCTGCTGCTGCTGCTGCTGCTGCTGCTGCTGCTTTTGTGCTTATGGGCAAAGATGACAATAGTTATCAGCCACAACAACAACAACAACAAGGACAGCAAGTCGAGTGCTCCGCTTTGGCTGCAGGCTAAACGACCCGGCTAAGCACAACAAGAGCTGCAGATGGGGATAGCTGAGCTATGGACGGCCCGGCCATGCCCAAGCTCCCACAGCCTTTAAGCCCACTTCACACACATTCACAGAACGAGTGAGAGAGGGTCAGTGAGAGGCAAGCGGGCGAGGAGGTAAGTCCCTTCGGTCGACATTGCTCCATGCTGATGAGTGATATTTATGAATCACATGTGTACAGTAAATCATCGCTGTTGAGTATTTATGCGAGAGCGTGTGATTAGGCCAGTCCGCAACGGTCATGTCCTGGCACGTCCAAGTCCGACTCTGCGTGCCCAGCCCCTTAGCCAACGTCCGGCACATGCAGTGCAGCCACAGCTTAAGCACGAAGCGTGAGCTTCGCCACTTGCCCAGGATAATTGCTCAGTTGTTGCGATTTCATTTTGTGCATTGCTCTTAGCACAGTAAACAAGCTCGAAGCACTTGCTGCTAAGCGCCAGAGAAAGGTACTCACAGAGGTGGACCCAGGCTGCAAGAGAGGCAAAGAGAGAGAGAGGAAGAGATTAATAGTGATTATAATTGTAATCAACTAATCGAACATCAATGCTAACGGAGAGGTGGGGCAGCTGTAAGCCTAAGCCTGGGATGTTTCATCTCCTATGCAATGATAAGAAATACATTCCCATTAGCTCAAGCCATAGACCCCAGTTGCCAGTGCTATACTCTTCTTTAATATATAGAATATCTCGAAAACATTAGACTAGTTTCTAACGCCCCCTAAACTAATGAAAATTATCTCTAACACGCGACTAAAGTTCATTTCATTCTCTCAATGTCTCAGTTGCCAGTGCTATACTTTTCAGTTAGTTCTATTAATTCTACTCTCTAATACATAGAATATCTCAAATACATAAAGCTAGTTTCTAAAGCCTCTTAAACTGATGAAAATTATCTCTAACACGCGACTAAAGTCCATTTCACTCTCTCATTGTCTTAGTATACGATCTTTCTCTCGATCTCTTTTTCACATCCCTTCTTAATCGTTATCTCTATGTATCTCTATCTATACGCCTTTTTAACATTTTTCAGTACTTTTGATCTATCTCTAGTTCTCACACACTTCTCGCTGTCTCTCCCTGTTGCTCTGTCACTCTCTTGCTATCATTTACTCTCCCTCATTCTTTCTCTCTCTGTCTTTACTTTTATCTCTCTTGTTCTCTCTCGGTTTTCTCTCTCTCTCTCTCTCTCTCTCTCTCTCCCCTTTGTTAGGTCTCTTTGCTTCTCTCTTTCTTCCTCTATATTTATATAACTATTCTTCTCTTCATCTCCATCATAGATTTTACAGACGTACCTTTTCTCTTTCTCTCAATCTCTTACTCTCTCTTTCTCTCTCTCTCCCTCTGCCTTAATCATTTCATCTCTCTCTCTCTCTCTCTCTCTCTCTCTCTCTCTCGTTCTCTCTTTTGCTATGCCTCTTTGCACCTCCTTCTCTTCTATGCTATCTCTATCAGTCTTGCTCTTTATCTCATTCCGGTTTCTGTTTTTAATTTCTCTCTCTCTCTCCCTCTCGCTCCCTCTCCCTCTCATTAGCAACTGTTAATCACATCTTTCATATTGCTTACATTTATTATATGTATGGGAGTCCTTCAAGAGAGTGTTGTGAAGCAGCTTGGCAACGCGTTAGGAACGTAATTAAAATTCAATTCGAAATATGTAATACAAATAGAAATGCAACGCACAAAAGCCAAAGCGAAGATGACGACGAAGGCGTAGACGAAGGCGATGGCGATGGCGATGCCTGGCTCCAATTCCTGCCCCGACTCTGTGACCAATTCCCAGCCGCAGCCAGACAAAGATGGGTCCTGGCTGACGCCAGCCACTGCCACTGCCACTGTCGCAGTCGCAGTCGCAGTCGACGTCGCGGTCGGCATCGCGTCATCGCTCGCACAGTTGTTGACTCTGCGCGCCATGCTGATTACCAGCGGCAGCAGGAGAAGCCATTGCTGGAGCTGGAGCAACAGCATCAATGCCCTCGCCCAAGCCCATGCCTCAATGCATTCGCCGCCGCCCGCCGCTTGGTGGCGCCACTTTGTCGCGACGCTTTTTATAATTGAAGCAAATTGTTAGCTCGCGCTGGCATTCACTTGTCCTGCCAGTTGGCTCGGATGGCCGGGGTTGGTTGGCTGAACTGTGTTTACCCTGCTTGCATTATATCAGCTGCCTCCATTTCCTGCTGCTGCTGCTGCTGCCGCTGTTTGCGCCGCATTGTCGCATTCCAATTACAAAACAATCATGATGAGCTCTAGATATTTGCAACAGCAGCAGCAGCCGCAACAACAACAACTGGCTCTATAGTTAACTATTTGAGAAAGGGAGTGACTGAGAGAGAGAGAGAGAGAGAGCGAGCGAGATATTTAGCATTCACATAAAGTTCGCTTTAACAACTCGACCACTCTTTAATCATCTGAAGAGCTCCGGCCACTTGGCGGAACAGGACTTATCAATGGTGGAGCTCACTAATGCGATTGTTTACACTGCGAAAGTGAATCGAAAGCTGCACTCGAACAGACCTTGAGTTTGCACTGGAATCCTCAAAATGCCCTTAACTGAAGTGAAAATGTCTTACAGATTGTTAAGTGATTTCCCTTACCCCTCTCTCTCTCTCTCTCTCCCACACTTATTGCCTTTCGCAGTGCTTCTCTGTCTAGACAGCTGAAATTTCTTACAAACTGCTTCGCACTCGTCTGACTCCCTGCAGCGTAAGCTTTTGTCTACCAAAGTAAGTTCGCCGCTAACCCTATTTACTTAACTCTTTACTCTACGTAGCAGGGGAACAGATGAAATATCTAATAATGGGAGAAAATATGCATAGATATTTAAGATTAGACAGATATCTAATATTTGATAGCTCCATCTCACTCTTTCTTTGTCAGTTTTCACATGTCTTCCTTCCTTTTCTTAGAATGCCTATATACTATATAGGGTATTCTCCCTATTTATCTATTTGATAGATCCATCTATCTCTTTCTTTGTCAGTTTTCACATATCTTCCTTCCTTTTCTTAGAATGTCTATATACTATATAGAGTATTCGCCCTCTTGCTCTGTTCCAGCTATATAGGGTATTCTCCCTATTTATCTATTTGATAGATCCATCTATCTCTTTCTTTGTCAGTTTTCACATATCTTCCTTCCTTTTCTTAGAATTTTCATATACTTTATAGAGTATTCTCCCTCTTTCTCTGTTCCAGCTCAATAATGACATGGAACTGCATTGTTTCAGCCCAGAGGAATCTCTCTCAGTCACCTCTTATGCAGATGCTGCCTGCATATATTGCATAATACATCGAATAATGAGTGTATCTAACTGTAGTTACTTATCCATTTAATTGGAATATTCATTTCCTTGAGCAAATGCTGCCGAGTCTGCAGTACTCAATTGCTGGAGAAACAAAATTAACTAATTGAAATACAGCTTGACGACTCGTAACTGCTATTTGACCCAGTCAATGGTTAAATGTGTGTGTGTGTGTGTGTGTGTGTGCATGTGTGTGTGTGTTTGTATGTGTGTGTTTGTATGAGGTGCTTTGGGTAGGCCGCATTGGAATGGCTTAAGCTTGTGGTTGAAGCATATGTTGTCGACTAGCTAAGATGCCACGCCTACGCCCACGCCATACTTACGCCTCTTTCTTGGCCAGAAGCCTACGCCCCCGCCACCTGCATAATGAAAGCGCTAGACGTGCGCTAGGCAGGAGGGCAGGCTGGGAGGTGGGCTAAGAGTTGGTTTTGTATATGATTTGGTGTCAGCTTTAGGCGCCAGCCGCAAATCCACTTAATGCATACGCAAAAGACTCACACTGACACATGCACACACACACATGCACACATGCACAAGAGATTTATGTGTGTGTGCTGTTATTATTGGCGTCATTTGTTGAATGGGCGTGGCACGCACTGTGATTGTCGCACAGCAACTGCTATTAAGGGGCTTCCAGACAGGATATATGTGGTCTAAAGCAAGACACACAAACACGCACACACACACACACACACGCTCATCTAAACAGTTGCAGTTGATGCATTGTTTGACGCTGCTGCACTCTGGGCTTGAGTTGCATCAACTCAGCTGCTGTTGCAACGGAAGTCACTGTATTTGAGGTTAAGTCACGCTTATGCATCTGTGTGCGTGTGCGTGTGCCTGCCTCGAGTCTTGCTCCTGCACCAATGGACTTGCCGCCCCATCCTCAACCTCTTCAGCTCATTTCAACTCTATAATAATGAGGCTCGTCGCAGCTTCATCATCAGAGGTGAAAGCTCTACAGGAAGGCCATCAAGCTATGAAGCCAATGGAGATATCTGTCTTATGCCACAGCGAGCTGGGCTATAGATGGACTAAAAATGGGACATGTCATAGAAAAGCTTTACTCGATCCACTCCATCCATCGACCTCCATCTCCATAGTAGTTTTATATTAACAAGAGGTAGAGATATACATTCTTCTTTCATAGATCTATTACTACAAATTCTCCATTTCACATCTATCAACTGCTCAGCTCAAGCAGCCAAAGTCAATTACGTATGCGGTAGTTCACTTCGGGAATCCTGTGCCTCACAATCTGTCAATTTTCAGGGCATATTCCACACTCTGCTAAAATTTCCCCGTAGAGGCTGCAGCAACCCTTCGCAAGGTCTGCGCTGTGAAGCAACCCAACTAGCCCTCGGGCTCAACTGCTTTGCCATAAGTCACGCAATTTCAATTCAACTGATTTTTCGCACCTCATCACGACCCCGCCTCGGGTTGCCTTTCCCTCGTTCTGTTTGTTTTCCTCATATACTTTTGTTTATTCGGGCATAACTTTCAGACTCCAGCCAGCGGCTGCTTGTTGGCATTATTGTTTTACATTATATCATAAACGGATTTGGGTCTTGCTCGGCCTCAGGCCACAGGCCAGTAAAGCAACATATTTATGATACCCAAAGCCCGCCGCACAGCCTTTTTGTTGTAGCGAAGCTGTAAGGGAGGCGGAGCTAAGCTAAGCGGCTACCCAAGCACAAAGTTCTGATTCCAATCTTTAGGGAATCGATTCATAGAACATATTCAACTAGACTTTCCATATTGGCTTTTAATAATCAACCTAAAGTGATGGGAGATACCGATTAATCTAAGCTCCGCATTCCAATCGAGCCATTCGTCTACCAAAAACATAGCTCTTGCCTACGCTCCCTAACTTTAATTCCGATATGATGAAATCTCTCGCAGTCCTTCGTCTATAGCATCGATCCCTTGATCCATCTACCTTTAAAAGCCATCAATACTTTCGTAAACGTAAGTCGAGCCCCATCCAATTCTCAACAAATAGTATTTCGACACAGCTACTTGGCATCGCATAGGCGACGCCTGTGCAGTCATTCAATATCCGTGTTAGTTTTTATGGATTCTCGGTAGAAAAGCAGTTTCGAAAAAAATTTTCAGAATAAACTTATTTGGTTTTAGTTTTTAGATATTTGAGTAACCCTAAATCTACACAGAGAGGACTTTTTACTTAAACTGATCGAAGGTACAACTTTGGCACGACTGTTAAGAAGTGGTTCACGTTGGTTCAAATGATGACTTATACATAGAATCGAATCGGGAGATCTACAAGACGAATTTGTACATAAGCGAGGAATACAACGGTATGTTTCAGTTCCATTACTTTCATTCCAGCTACACAACACATCCTCCTGCTATATCCATCCGATTCCCATTTCGATTAGTTGCTGACTTGCCATATATGCAGCAAATTTGCTTATGAAATGGAAATATGTTCGAGAACAATGTCAGTTAATAAGTGGAATGCCTTCGCTAGTCACCTCCAGATCTATCCTCCGATTAAATTTCAACGCTTTACCTCTCTTGGAAAGTCACTATGAGTAAAAGCAATTATAGACTTTCAGAGTGCAGCAGATGGGTCTGTTAGCCTTCATTTTCTCAATTCGATTCAAGTTTAGCTTGATTTTTGGCAAGACCCAAAAACCTTTTGAGCGTTTAATAACCTCTCGAGCTTAGATTGCAGACAAACCAAAAGAGAGAGAGAGAGGGAGAGGGGGGTTGAACACGACATATAAACTTAATTACTATTACGTATCACTAATAGAGATAATTGTATTTTCAATGCAGGTAATACGGCCCAGTAGAAGACGAGTCAAGAAGCGAGTCGAGCTAAGTAGCAACAGTTCTATCAGCCGCAACAACATCGGCATCTAGAGGATATTTGTGTGAATAGCCGAGGCTACGGATCGAGCCCTGTACTGAGTCATAACAGCAGCAACAACAGTACAAAGTCCTGCAGCGGTATACGAATGGCGTCGAGCCATTTAGAGCACAGCAGCGGCCTGAACATGGGCGGTCCAGCTATTGGCGAACAGGGCCACAATTGTCATGGACAGTCGCAGGGTCAAGCAGAGGCATCGAAACAGGGACGTGGTCAGGAGCAGGGACAGGGCGAGGCACAGGGTCAGGGACAGGGTCAGGCACAGGGTCAGCGACAAGGACTGGGACAGGGACAGGGATTGGGACAGGGTCAGGGACAGGAAAAGGAGCAGGGACAGCGACAGGAACAGGGACCGGCCCAGAGCCAGGGACCGGCTCTGGGACAGGGCTACGGACACGGAGATTCTCGAGCCGGCAGAAATATCAATGTGCCAATCATTAATGGACGCCTCAACAACTCCATGGGCATTGGCGGCGGCAGCTTGCCGATCATCTACAGACACTGCTCCGAGTATCAGACTGGGCTGCACGCGAACCTGAGTCGCGCGCCCCAACTGTACAACATGCGCTCGTGGAGTGGCTGGGATGCGCAGCAGCTTCATCCCCACCGCCATCCGCATCTGCAGTTCGTCCATCAGCATCACCATCATACGCTGGCCCAGCAGCAACAGCTGCTGCTCCAGCAGCAGCACCTGGCGCGCCACCAACAGATCTTCGAGCCGCTGCACGCGTCGCGTTCGCATCCGCTGAATGTGGGCGCGCCCAGCTTCACGCCAACCAATGCCAGAGCTGCTGATGGCGCACCAAGAGGCGTGGCATCGATCACAGCAATACCGGCTCCACCCGGTAGTGCTGCTACAGCGTTCGCCATGGCCGGCGCTGGCTTGGGCATGGGCATGGGCATGGGCCTGGGCATGGGCGTGGGGATGGGTATGGGTATGGGTATGGGCATGGGGATGGGTATGGGTATAGCCACCGGCCGATGTCCGCCCATACCGTTGATACCTAACCAATCCCAGCCGCAGCTGCACACCCAGGCCTACTCGCCGTCGGGCAGCCAGTCGGAGCGCACCAATGGCAGGCGCCAACAGTTGCCGGATCTATTCCAAACGGTCATCAAGCTGATGCGTGAGCTGAACCGTTCGGTTAGCTATCCGGAAATGATTGGCATGCTATCGATGCGGCTGCAGCGTTTGCCAGTCGAGCTCAAGCGCCACATTCCCCACACACTGCATGGGGCCGTTGCCAATGGCTATTTGCGCAAGGATGGCAATTATTATACGCTGCTCTCGGAGCAGGAGCAGAAGGAGATTATGAAGCGCAACCAGGAGGCCGCCAAGCGGGCCAAGGAGCTGGAGAAGGAGCCGTTGTCCTGGCGCATACGTTAGGATCCAGCATTTGGTTAGGCGCAACCGTCACTCGAAGCAATCTTGGCCGTTGCCAGGGATTCGGAGTGTTGTTCATGTGTTCATCTATATATATATATATATATGTGTGTATATATATGTATATGATGTTTTCGTTTCCGCGTTACTTGAAACACACACAACACCATTCCACTCTCCATATACCCCACCAAGCAGCAATCAGGTACCCACAGTACCCACGCACTACCCCCATTATAACCACCGCACACACACACGCCATGAATCCAAGGAAATGCCAAATTGTCAGAAAACTACATATGTATGTATGTATATCCCCATATATACACCTAGCGCTGGGCTGTTGCCGAGAGACATTTGGGTATTCTATGAAATTTAAGTTATTCGTTTTCATCGATTTCAATGGGCAAACCCTTCGTGTAAAATAATAAAAAAATTTAAGTTCGCTAGCAAATTGATTGTTATTTGTGGATCCCGACTCATCCCAAGGAGATCCCGGGCATCATAGGCTATACTGAATCGCTCTAGATTCTTGAACATGCCTGCGAATCGATCAACGCTCCCCTATATCATTTTCCTTAAATAGAGATCTATGGGATCAATGGAGAGTCGAACTCCACTTTTGTATTTTTCTTTTATGCTTTAGCCTTTATTTTATATTCAAATATATATATTCTACAATATCTTCTTCGGTCACAAGATGAATTTGTTATTATTGAGGCACATTTTATAGCTTGGCTTTATTATTGCGTACTTTTCTCCTCGGCCTTTGCCTTTTGACTGGCTGATTGCTTGACAGCATCGTCTCGACGCCGATTGCTCGATGCATTGCGGCTCTGCTCCCGCGGCTCATTCGGATCCAAGCGACTGGGCACAATCGAGTAGCGATAGTTCTTCACACGCAAATACCCATAGATGAGGGCGTCGTGCAGGTTGACAGTTACTTGCCGCTTCAGCTCTTCATCGGAACGTTCCAAGCGCTCCGACACGGCCTCGACGATCTCGTGCTGCGTCAGCGGACGGTCCGACTCGGCGACCACCCGCAGGATGCTGCTGAATAGATTCGGTATGAGCTTGCGTCGAGGCGCCTGATTTGGACCGTTCGGTCTCATTGTTCTGGCCACGGAAGCAATCAAGGGCCAGGCTATCGGAGCAAAAGTCTTACAATATTGTTAGCACTGCCTTTTTGTAGGAGCTAATTTGGGTTTCTGTCAGCCTTCCAATGAAAGGATAACTAGATGAGCTGAGAGTTGACTGGGCATATCGGGGACTATGATATGAGATATCCCTCGGAATCTTGGAGATATTATTGGCATCTTTTGCCCACAAAGTAAAAAGCATTTTAGGTCTCACGGATTTTACACTCGGCCACTTAGAAAATGTTTTAAGAGCCGCGCAAAATATGTTGATTTAGCATTGTGAAACGTAGACAACTCGAGGGTTGCTCTAAAGCCAAATGCCAAACATTTGAGAATTGTGATTACACTGAGGCGAATGCAGGAGACACTTTAAGTGCCTCTCACTTGGCAAGAAGAAGAGGCAAAGCTGACTTCAGCAACATCGTCTGAAGGACAGACCAGAAGAAGAGCGGTAAAGAAGATGGGGGAGAGACAGCTAGCTAGACAAGCGGTCAGGCTGAGGCTGGTTTATCGATTGGTCGATTAAAGTCGCGCGAGGGCAAATCGCTATTTGGCTGTGCAATAAAATGTGAAATGCGGGCAACTTTACGAATTGAAACGACAAGGAATCTGCGTCTCGGAAATTTGCATAAAGCAAGTGGCGAGGGCGCGACAGATACAACAGATGCAGATACACAGATACAGATACAGATGCAAAGAGAGAGAGAGAGAGAGAGAGAGAGACGAGCTGGAGGCAGAGCCACAGCAGTTGACTTGTGGACTGAGCAAACTGGGCAACATCATTGTTATGGTCGTACTTGTTGGCAGTTGTTGCTGCCGCTGCTGCTGCTCCTGCTGCCGTTGCTCCTGCTGCTGCTGCTCCTGCTCCTGCTGCTGCTGCTCCTGCTGCTGCTGTTGTTGTTGTGTCTGGCACGTGTCACAGGAAATTTAGATAGCTGCAAATTTCCATTGGTTGTCGCGCAACACAATAACCGCAGCCTGATTGAAATCAGTTTGAGTGCCGGCGCATTTAACTAACAGATACACAATCAAGATGTATGCGTGTGTGTGTGTGTGGGTGTGTGTGGATGGGTGGCTGTGGCGCAGTCGACTTTCCCATGCCTCACTTTCGGCTTTTCAGCGGCAATTAGCAGGTCGAAAGGAAAAATCCAGCTAGCTTCAATCTATATAAAATCAAAGAATGATTTATATTACACATATACATAGATATATAGATGCATTTACATAGGTATATCCAGCATGTGTATAGACATCTATCAGCATTTTCTTTTCTGCTTCTATCGCTGGCTCTTCCTCATATGATTTGTTAAGATTTCTGATCCAGGATTACGCATTGAATGCTTCACTCTCTCGCTCCCTCTCTCTCTCTCTCTCTCTCTCTCTCTTTTGGTGCAGTGGTTGGCGTCCATTTGGGCAGCTGTCGCAGTTGATTAGCAAGTTTTTTTGGGCGCAGCTTTCACGCATTGCTGACAGGCCAAAAAGTTTTGTATCCATTTCCATTTCCATTGCCAGTTGATGCTGTTTGGCTGAGCGCATTGCGTAACTCTCGCTCCCGCCTTAATTATGACTGACAGCCGGAGGGGGCCCCCAACCAGGAGCAGCGCTGCCGTCCAGCCTGTTGCAAGTTAAACTAATCTGGCGCAAGTGATTAAGCAAAGCCCCCGAAAATTTGTCGAGTAACAATTAAAATCAGCTCTCTCTCCCTCTCTCTCTCTCTTTCTTCGACCCGTGCAAACTTTTCCACGCAACCACAAAAACTAACCCTAAATGCAGCACGCCCTCGCAATTAACCAAAACTTTTGCTGGCTATTCCCACGCCCTATGTCTACCTAGATGGCCTCTACCCAGCACCCTCTCTCTCTCCGCTCTCTCTCTTCTTTTGGCCCATGATATACGCAATGCATATAATTCATTTTACGTTCAGCCTCTAGTGCTTACGTCTCCCGGCTCCCATTCCCAGTCGGGCTACCAGCGAGGCGCATAAGTGCCTGGTCAGTAACGGCCTCTGGCCACGTCGCACTGGCGCCAGCGATGCGCCGCCCCCGCCGCGGGCGCAGACAGTGGCGCCGGCTGGCCATAACTCATCGAAACGGGGGACGTTCAATAACAATTGAAAGTGAAATTGCAAATGATGAAAGTGCTGCGAAAGTGCGCTTTTTTAATGGAGCGTGCTTTGGGCTAGACATTGAATGAATTTGCCTAAAAGCCAACAGCGAGCATTCAGGCAATGATCTAGCTGGCGGGAGACAACTTCCCGTCTCTCCCTCTCTCTTTGTCACGTATCCATTTCCACAAAATTTTAATTCCATTTGACTTTTGACGCATTTCACAATGCTAATTGTCAATTACTTTTGCACTTTTCACTGTTTACAGTTTGCTTGAGAAGAGAACTGACTCGAAATGTACGAACTAGTTCCGCACTAACTTTTCTCCTATCGATAGTTTTATATCTCTGAGCTTTTGAAGCGCATACCCATGAAAAGAAGAAGCAGAAAACGCGCAACGTACCCCTGCACATACCCCTCAGCCCATGTCTCTTGCTGCTTAACTCTCCTCACACTTATCGAAGCATTCTCGATATTTCTGATTGGTCAATATATCGCATCAGAGCGTGTTCTTCAAATTTACTCATACGACAAGACTGTAGAAAATAAACATTACTCGCTGCCGTCAGCCTCTGCAGCTCCTGCTGCTCCTGCAGCCCCATCGCCCCAGCACATCAGACGCCTCTGGCGCTTGGGGCAAGTGAAGCTGGCAAGGGCTAGCGCATAATAATGATTCGGGCATTATCCCTGGCAGCTTAAAGCGAAGCAAAAAACTTTTCATCATAAGTTGCCCACTTGTTGTTGTTGTTGTTGTTGGTGGTAATGGTGGTGGTGTTGGTGTTCCATTGAATGGACTTGTCTATGGCCATCGAGGGATTGCAGTTTGAGTGTCGATTTGTTTCTCCCGCCTCACAAGTTTCGCATCGGGCGCAGATTTATCAACGCAGCACGCGATAAGGAACAAAATACAACAACGAAAACAGATGAAAGTAAAGGCGAAAAAATGAAATAGAGAAAGTTGCGTGCTTTACTCAAATGGTCAGCCATTGTTGGCCTCGCTGACACGCCCCGTAGGCGTTACTAATCTAATTTGCAGTTATTGGCGCCCAGATTAGCACACGCCACATATGTGGGTAATGCGTATCGCGTGTGCCCAGCGCCACACAAAGATTCCATTTGGTATTGCACCACAGCAGCCAGCACCACCCACACCACCCACACCACCCACACCTCGCATACATTAGTCTAAGCTGTGCAAGTGCAAAACATAATGAAAATGATGTCAGTTTGATAAGATTTTCGTCGAGTGTGTGAATGTGTGTGTGTATGTGTGTCTGTCTGTCTGTGTGTGCATGTGTGTGTTTTATTGTATTGTATTAGGCCGCAAGTTATTGGAAAAGTTTGACTGTCGAAAAAAGCCTAAAACAATGCAAAGACGCAGATACATAGATGTGCCCATGCCAAATCATTCGTATAATAGTTTGCCTGAGCTTGTATAACAAATGCGATATACTCGAAATGCCCTCAAATGATGATAGTTGTTTATGGCTTTTAAAGAGTGCTCAAGTTGCTGTATTGCCATACTTTTTCATTAAGCTTGATGAATTATGAAACTGTTATACGCATTTTCCGTAGGGCTTATATATGATTGGGTTTGTTAACAATCATTCAGTTTGTGCATAAGTCATGTTGGCCCATCTTAAAGGCATTTGCAGTATAACAGTTTTTTGTATAACAGTTTACATATGCTACTAGGCCTATTTAATCTGAATAGCAGGAGAGCTAGTTCCATTTGCATAACACCGACTGCATATCACCCGCTTCTGAACGACAATTAATATAACAGTTCATGCACACTGTTATATAAACCCATATCTATGATCAAAGTCGATGTTACATGCACTACCTATTCATATTGGCACTTATGTATCTGTTATACATAGACTCACATACATGCCTTCTTTGTACATGCGGCACAAGTTCACGTATAACACTTTTCATTCACAAGAAACACCCAAAGAAACCACTTAAGTAATGAAGTGGAAAAGCTTAAATTTTATTTCCATCACTTCGTTGGCGTATAACAGTTGCTTAGGTCACACAACATGTGCATCGGCATGGCCATCTAATGGCATCTATCTATCGGCTGGGGCCCGAGCTGTCATGCTCGTACCGGGCGCATTGTCAAAGTGTCAACGCAGCAACTTGCCACTGACAACGCCTATCAAATTAACCAAAACAAAATTGCATTAGGGCTGAAACTACCAACAATGGACTGCACACAGTATGTGTGTGTGTGTGTGCTGGCACATACCAAATTTATTCATTGCACAATGCGGTCCAGACAATTTATGCTAATCAACATCAATCGATTTGCATGCCATGCATATGGCCAAAGCATAAAAGCTGACTACGTCCATGGCCCATGGAACAAGGAACAGCGAGTACTGCCGCCCGTCCATAGATGGAACGTTTGAATATGGATTGGACGGGGATTTTATTTTGCTGTTTATTGGGCGGCTGTTGTTGGCTATGCGGTTCGACGGCCATTGCTGGCACTTGTCAATGTGTGTTTGTGTGCGTGTGGGCTCATATGAATGTTCGAGTGCGCCAAAGTGGACAATCACTGCATATGGGTAATTGCATAAAACGAAGTGGATGGTCTCTCGACCGTCGACGCGTCGGCAACTGGTTGCTCCTACTCTGCTGATGATGCTGCCTGCGACAGCAATAATTTCAAAAAGATTTGCCCCTTCTATATTTTTCTTTTTTTTTGTCGGAGCCAACAAGAGGGCCATGACGAAGAATAGTCGCTCTACGAGTGATAACGGAATATCTATATGCTGGGGCAACAAGCGTGTATCGTACAAATTACATTAAGTGTATGTTGTTTTTAGTATAACAGTTTTGTTTAGTATAACAGTTTTATTAAATATAACAGTTATGCTTCGTTCAACAGTGCTGTTCAGTATAAGAGTTTTGTTTAGTATAATAGTTGTGTTTAGTATAACAGTTATGCTTCGTTTATTAGTGTTGTTGATTAGTATAACAGTTATGTTCAGTATAGCAGTTATGCTTAGTGAAACAGTTTTGTTTAGTATTTCAGTTATGCTTAGTATAACAGTCTTGTTTAGTATAACAGTTATGGTTAGTGTAACAGTTTCGTTAGTAGAACAGTTTTGATCAGTATAACAGTTATGTTAAGTATTACAGTTATGCTTAGTAAAACCGTTTTGTTTAGTAAAACAGTTTTGTTCAGTGTAACAGTTTTGCTTGGTATAACAGATTTGCTAAGTATAAGAGTTATGCTTCGGGTATAACAGTTTCAATCATCAAGTGTGTACAAATTAAGTATAACAGTTTTTTATCATTTTATTATTAATATACCTACATATATATTGTGTATAAAAGCTGTGTATGACAGTTTTGTATCCAGTATATCAGTTGTATATCACACTTAGGTTTAGTTTAGTTTGTAAAACAATTTTATATAATAGTTGTGTAGAACAATTATTCCTAGCAGATTGTAAATGCTCATAGAAATGTCCACAGACCTTTCGTAGTCCGCTTTATGATTGTTCTGTATGACAGTGTGTCCAGCTGTTATTACTTTATGCATGAATGACTGACTGCATGACAGTTGCATAGAAGAGTCTTTATGTAGGAAACAGCATGACAATTATTGAGTAATCAAATTAGGTTCGTGCGTGTACGAATCGCAGCAGCTGGCTGCGCTGCATGGACAGCACGCTCTGGGCCGGGGGCAGTACCGAGCAATGCAGCAACTAATTAATTCACCCACTCGCCGAGCCGCCAAACCGCCGTTTTGTCAACCACCACCTGAGCCAGTGCAATGCATAGCAGTTCATGTATGTATGTATGTATGTATGTATGCACATATGTATGTATGTATGCGCACATGCTGTCATCGCAGCCATCAACGTTCTCGTTGGCATCATCATCGTGCCATTCATTGTCATCTGCCATAGCCATAGGTAGTCCGGAACATGCTCATGGACTCATGGACAATTTGGACTGTATGCCAAATGAGCCTGGATTCGGGCAGCTAGTCATACATAGCGGTACACGTATGCGCAGCAAAAATAAAATCAGGCAAAAATTCAGTTGTGAATTGTTAACATTGCCGAACTTGGAACACCCTTAGGATAGGAACACCCAGATAGACTGTTTAGGAAATTTAGTTATACAAAATAAGAATATATATAATGATGGTTGAGAGATAGTTGACAATGAGAATAATGATGACAATGATGATGTAGATGACAATTATATTCATTAGCATGCGAATCATAAGAGAATATTATTGCTAATGGCAATCATAATGACAATGGTGATGACAAAGGCAATGACAATGCCAATGATAATAATATTGATAATGATATTCATTAGCATCACAATAACAATAACAATTATATTATATTATCTGACAATGATAATGGTAATAATAATGATAATGATGATATTTCCCAAAACAGCCATGAATTGGCTAGTCTCTGCATCAAATAGGTAATGCTCCTCGAGCTGTTTACAGGGTATTGCCGCAGCTCAGATTGATGCGCAAATTCGAGTTTGATTTTCGCTGTTTGTGAACAATTTTGTAAATCTCGCTTGGATGGGGTTGGAGCTGCATTGGACTGGGTAATTGTGTAATTGATTAGCATTCAGAGCTGGGGGGCCAAAAAGGATGCCGATGTATGGGAAACAGGTCTAGCAGGCGTACGACTGACAGGTTCGAGCAGCCGAAACTGAGACAGCCATGAGGTAGCATTGGTAATAAACTCTGAGATCAGTTTACACGGAGTCGATTTTCTATTTATATTGCTCGAAATTGTTATTCAAAATTGTAGGAGTTGTGCGCCACCAAACAAGAACAGCACACAAGCGACAAACATAATTGATTACGAAAACCACACGAACTACAGAGGACCACATAGATATACAGCTATATATTGCGAATATATATACATAGGCATATATAGATATATTTATACATACAGGTGTATATATATTTCGATATATATATACACATAATCCAAATCTTATTGTGAAGGCACGGAACACAGCGAACGAAGAGAGTAGACGAGGATCAAGCGCGCATCACGACCATGTTGCTTAAGGATCAGCCATCATTCAAGGAAGTGGCCAAGGTGTTTATAGTAGGTGAGTCGGTAGGGGATGGAGGCGGGGGCGGGGTTGGGTTCTCAGCATATATTAATCCATTTGGAATCGTTTGGCAGGCCTGGCACTGCGCTCCTATGTGTCAAACGGCGATGGGGAACAGCGCCGGACGTGCTTTGGGCACGAGCTATCGCGTCGCATCTGCATGGCGGCCAATCGCCATCGGGCCAACAATCGCCATCGCCTGCTGAAGCTCATGTCCCCCGAGCGCCTAAAGGAGTACGAATTGAAGAACGGAACCCGGGCACTCCACCCACATCCACTGCAACAGCCACAGCCACTGTCACTGCAACACCCCCTGCAGCACCCCCTGCAACATCCACTGCAACATCCACAGCGCTGCGATCTCAGCCAAAAGACTCGGGAATTCGCTGCCAATACAAATCTAAATACCAAGTTATAAACGAAGAGACTCGAACCTTAGGTTAATACACGTTTTTGCATCGTTTCGAAGGAGTTTGGAATACACGGGGTGGGCTGCTGGATCTTTGGCTGCATTGCAATTAGGCAAATCATACTATGGAGCTGTAATTTGAGACATCCTCAAGCATGGGACATCTGCTCGACCGGAGCATCCTGCTCGCCTGCTCGCAGAGCACACGGCTGTCATCGTGGCCAGTGTTGGCGCTATCTGGCCTTTTTCGAGCTAACTCAATTCGCTTAGGTACAGCTAAACTATTTCGACTAATCTTTTCTTTTGTTTTCCCCCATTTGAACTAACTAATTGTATGAGACTTGACATATAATAATAATATCATGTAATATCTAGTATACACAAATATCCGCAACAAATTCTGGCTGGTTTTCCTCATTTTCTAGCCGTGAACTGTCGGCCATGAACTTCAATGCTGCGCTGCTGTGCAGTCCAAGTGCTGCTGGCTTAACACATCCTGCCAGGATATGCGCCCGAGTGGCCAGAGGTGTTTGCACAGAGAGACAGAGAGGTGGGAGGGGGGAGGGGGCTGGACTAGGTCTAGAGACAGGGAACTGCTGCATGCATGAGCTTGTGCTGCCGCTGCATTGTTCCTGCCTAATTGTGTGCAAGGACAACGGGCAGGACGGGCAGCACACCGGCTGTCTGCTTGGGTTAGGGCTGCCACAGCAGTTGCATAATTTCTGCAATTGTCGCAGAGCATAACTTGGCAGCAGAGCAGCCCACTTGCAACATCTAGGCGCGGGCTGCTGCACCTGTGCGCCCCTGAGCATCCTGAGCATCCTGTGCAACTTGGCCAGCAACATGGCCGCAGCTACAACTTCATTTTGAGCATGGCGCTGCCGGCTGCCAACTTGGGCAACAACTTTTGAGTGTAAATAATTGTCAGGGCACAGGGCTGCTGAAAAAAGAAGAGAAATGCATACTGAAAAAAAAAAAACAATACAAATACAACCGCAAAAATTCTGCAGCAGCTTCACATGAAAATGCCTTTGTTGTTGCTGGAAAGTGTTTTCCTACTTGGGTGCTCAGCATTTATGGATATTTATACGCTTTGTGCAGTCACTCGCCCACCGTCTCGCAGCTCCAATTAGTCTAGCGCCATCTCGCTCACACGTTTTCTCCGCCTCGCTGTATGTCAGCAGCACTCCGCCAGAACTTCGACATAGCTGAATCACACACACTCACACACACACAGCTGAAACTTTAAGAGTATTGAATAGTGCTCGAAACTGTAGAATGCGGCATTTTACAGCACTGTGCGCCAGCCCTTGAAATAATAATTAATTTTGCATGAAATGCAGACGAAGCTTTAATGATAGGAGCTATAACTGTCTTCATTATATGGACATCTCATCACATGAACATCTTTTCCAGAACTTTCCCTAGATCTCTTCTTCTTCTTCGCTGCGAATTCCCACTGACATTTCTTCATTCCCGCTGTCCCCACGGCTTTTTCCCCTTCGTCTCTCTTCGTCTATTTGGCTTTCTATTAAATTTCGCCCATTCACAGGACGCGTTGCATCAACTGTCATTCGTTGAATTACTTACGTGTTCGTACGAGTTGTCACTGGTGAGCTGAAAATCTTTTTTCGTAATTCAGATTGTTATATTTTACGGTTTTTAATTTATCTTATTTCGTTTTTCCATTGAGGAAGCAATTATGGCCGATAGCATTCATCATTTCAAACGCTCTACTCTCAATCCGGGTGCCGAAGTTTTCACGCCCCGTGCTGGCAGCGTAACTCCTGATGCCAACAATTTGCAGTATGAAATTCAGCAAGAGCCAAATTATGGTACTCAGGCTGTTGGAAACTGGCAAGTGGCAGAGGGGCTGCCGCCGCTTCAGCAGCAGCAGCAGCAGCTGCAGCAGCAATACGCTTTGGATGGTACTGGCAATTGGATTCAAGTCGTTCCGGGGCCATCGCAGCCCCAGTTGCAAGTGGTGCAGCCGAATCAGCTGCAGTATGTTGGCCAAGACAACAACAATTGGGAGCAGCAGCCAGTGCTGCTGCTGCAGCCTCAGCCTCAGCCGCAGCCTATGCCGCAGCCGCAGCAACTTCAATATTTTGTGCATGGTCCCAACAACTGGGTGCCGATTGCTCCGAACCAGCAAGTGCAGTACATTCTGAATGCCGGCAGCGATGGGTCACAGCAGCCGCAGCCCCAGCCCCAGCCCCAGCCTCAGCCCCAGCCGCAGCCCCAGCCGCTGCAGCCGGAGCAGGGGGCGGATCAACAGCTGCTGTATCAAGAGCAGCCCGAGCAATTCGCTCAGGTTGCTAAAAGCAATTGGGAGCGAGCCGCTGACGAGCAGCTAATGAAGGAACAACTTTGCACTATCGATGGCAACGGCGATGACAACGATAATTGTCAAGATATAAAGGAGGAGCTCCAGCAGCAGAAGCAGGAGCAGGTGGTGCAGAAGAATCCGCCGATCGAGTCGCCCGTCGGATGCAGCTGGCAGCAAATTGTTCAGGAGGAGGAGGAGCAAATACAACTGCAGATGAAACAGCAGCAGGAACAGGAGCAACTGAAACTGCTCCAAGGCAACAAGGAATTGCAGCAAGTGGCTCAAGAGCAGCAGCAGTTGCAGCAGCAGCAGTTGGAGCAGCAGCCATTGCAGCAGCCATTGCAGCAGCAGCAGTTGCAGCAGCAGCCATTGCAGCAGCAGCAATTGCAGCAGCAGCAGTTGCAGGAGCAGCAGTTGCATCAGCAGCAGTTGCAGCAGCAGCCATTGCAGCAGCAGCAATTGCAGGAGCAGCAGTTGCAGCAGCAGCAGTTGCAGCAGCAGCAGTTGCAGCAGCAGCAGTTGCAGGAACAGCAGCTGCAGCAGCAGCAACTGGAGCAGCAGCTGCTAGAACAACAGCAGCAATATTATCAGCAGCTGCTGCAGCAACAACAGCAGCTACAGGAGCAACATAATCAGATGCAGCAAGAACAGCAGCTGCAGCAACAGCACCAGTTGCAGGCGCAACAGCACTATCAGCAGCAACAACAGTTGAAGGATCAAAATCGACAGCCAAAGCAACCGCTGACTGCTCCGACTGTCATGTGGATCCCCATTGCTCCGGTGCCTCCAACATCTACTCAACCTTATGTGCTCGTTCAGCCCGTTCCACAATATCCGAAGCAGTCGCAACAGTTGCCACAGGCGCCGCGCACATTGCCGCAGCTGAAGCGAGGTCAGGCCGAGGTCAATCCCAATTACTATCAGCAGCAGCAACAACCGCTGAAGAAGCAGCCACTGCTGCCGCTCCCGCAATATCCGCAGCAGCAGCAACATAAGCAGGAGCAACATCAGCAATATTCGCAACATCAGCAATATCAGCAAAATCAGCAGCAGCAGCAGCTGCAACTGCAGAGAAATGAGTATCAACAGCAGCCGAGCCGTTTCCAACCGCCACGCGCCTTTCACTCGCGCACCCAGGAGTTTTCCCACTATCAGCCCGAGCATACGTCTTATCTAGGGCAAAATTTGTATAATGAAATAGCAGGCGGGGACATCCGTCAGCCGGCCAGGTCGGTGGCCCTAAGTCCTAAGCAAGTGAAGCACGTTGCTTACGCCAATGGACATGAGCAAATGCAGCAGTCACCGCAGTATATGCAGCAGCAGCACTACCACCAGCAACAACACTACCAGCAGCAGCAGCAGCAGCAGCAGCACTACCAGCAGCAACAATATGGACCACTCGGACATTCAAACTCTTCCGCATTCAAAGCAAAGCAAAATCCGAATGCCAATCCGGATACCATGTACTCCACCAATCCGATTCGCATCAATGGCAGCCGTGAAGCGGCGCCAGCACCTTCGCTGTTGGCCCGCTGGACCGATAATATTTTGAACGCACTGCTCGGCCTGATGGCGGAGCACGACAGTCCGCTTTCATATGCATTCATACTGAGCCAACTGGCCGTGCGTCTCGGCTGTCCAGAGGAAATCGTCAAGCGCCTGGCCCCGAATGCCATGTATGAGGCCGCCAACAAGGGCTACGTCCGTCGCGTCAACGGGGGCTACGTTCTCAGCGTGGATCCGTCTGTAGTTAAGCAGCACCTGCTCAAGTAGCAGCCACGAATGCAAATTATTTTAGTTATTAGCTAATCATTATCATTCCGTCGGGGTCTTTCACTCCGCTCCGCAAAAAACAGCTCACATTGCTCCCAACAACAACAGCAGCAGCCCAGACAACAGCAATCTGGTAAATCATCGCGTCCTTGAATACTTTTTGTATGTGATTTATAATTTTTGCAAGAAATAGAAAAATAAATGCTTATGGGAGAGCCGCATGATCTTCTCAATTGGGGCAAGGTAAGCTCACTTATGGACTATAGCAATGCCTACAGAGAGAGAGAGAGAGAGAGAGAGGGAGAGAGAGGGAGAGAGAGCAGGCAGCGTAAAGCAGGCTAGAAAAGTAGCCGGGGTGGGTTTTTATACCCTGAACCCATTGAAAATTGGAAATCAGAGGATATGGCTTTGTTGAAATGTAAGAGGCAGAAAGGGCGTGGCAGACCCCACAAAGTATATATATTCCTGATCAAGGCGACGAGCTGAGTCGATTTGGCCCTGTTTGTCTGCCTGTCCGTCCGTATGCTTGAACGCGTCGGTCTCAGAAGTTATGAGAGCTAGAGACTTGAACTTTTTTTTAGAATGTCAGTATATATCGCGGATATCGAGCTTATCTCCAAAAATCATTAACTCATCCCATTATTTTTTATCGATTAAAAAAACTATCGAAAATCGGTAATATAATTATATCCTATGCATCTTTAAAGCTAGAGTCTTCAAATTTTAAATATATATTCAGATGCATTTTATATAATTTCGATTTTTCATATAATTCATCCCCAGCCCTATATTCACCCCCTCACCCTTAATATACGCACAATTCATTCACAATTAAGTTCATACTGCAGCCCATGCCCATGTATGTCTGCGAGTGTGTGTGTTTCTTGTGTAAGCAGGAAGAAGCAAAGAATTATTGAAATATCAGTAGCTCGAAGGGTTCAGGGGATATCGCAGT